GAAAACTACACTGGCACCCCTGTCAGTAACAGTCAACTAAGAAACCTAACAGAATCTGCAAAATAACTATGTTACCCCGGATAAAAATCAACCCAAACCCAAACCAAATATCACACACAGATCTAACTTGTACGAACCCGACCCATAGGGCAAGCGATTCTTGACGCATAACTCATCGGATGGATGATGCTAGTGGCAGAACCTGGTGAAGGTATATATTTGAGGGAGAGATGGAATTGCTAGGTTGTGGTTCTGTTCATTTAGGTTATGGGGGAGGGAGATAGGTGTTATGGTGGGGGAGAAATGTTTTGTTTGTGGCTGTAGGGGTTAGTGTAATAGCAGAGGCAGGAGCGGCTCAACATTATTAAAAAAAACCTTGGACTTTAGCTTTCAAGTTTTTAGAAGATTTTATAATTTTAGATATGTTGTTAACCCAAAAAAAAAAAATTAAATTTTAAAACCTAAAAAAATTACCCATAAAAATTAAATACAATCAAAATTTTTATTGTAATAATTTAGATTTATGATTCAATACATAACATTATAAACCAAAAAATTATAAGTTGAAAAAATAAAAAATATTTTAAAATTAACTCATATTTGCCCTTAATCATTCTCTCTCCGTATAAAAATAAGTAAAAAATTTGAAATTAAATTATTTCTCCTGTAAAAAATCAAAAACAAAAGTTAAAATATTTTTCTCTGTAGCATTGGCACTCTCTCACACAATAAATTAAAAATATAAAAAAATGTCTCATTTAATGTTATCACTTTAGATTTCAAATTACCTTGGATAGAGATGATTTAACAGTTTGTTTTGAAAGAAGTAGGTGACGCTTTGGTGGTGGAGGTGGCACTGTTTGCGTTAAAGTCGATGGTGGAGTCAGTGATAGATTGGGTAGGGTTGGTTAACCTAATTTCCTTGAGTAATTAGCTTTGATAGATGGTTTCACTCAACGAAATTAATGGTTTAATTAAGGGGTCAATTACTTAATTAGTGGAGTTTATTACTAGGGTTAATTAGCTAATTGATGACTTAATAAACGGGTTCAATTATAGATTTTCACTTAACGAAATTAATGGTCTTTAAACCATCTCCAATCTTTACCCTTTTGAATTTTATTTTTTTTTAAATCATCTTTAATGCTAGACTTATATCCATACCAAATGAAGATAAACAATTTTTAAAACTAAAATTAAAGGAGACCATTTTTTAAACCTAAATCTTTAATGGTAATATTACACTCTCTTTTAAAGATCAAATTGTCATAATTTATCCTCTTTTAAATTTAGATTTATCCTCATCTAAATTTAAATTTATCTTCTTTTAAAAAATAATTTGTCTATTGCAGAGGTCTATATCAAATCGAATTTTTTAATTTTTTTTTAACTCAAATTTGAGTAAGAATGTAGGTCTCAGTTGAAGATGCTCTTACATAAATGGTCAAATACTTTTTTACTTGTTTGATTTATTTTGTAGGTAATTTGATTGATTTAAGTCTATGATGTTAATTATTTGATTAATGAGGTGAATCAACTTAACTACTAGATTTGTTGGGGGGTTTTATGAAAATTTTAAAACTATTGGGTTTTCGTGGTAGCTTAGGTTTTTAAGTGGGACATCATGCTTGGGTTGTTTGGGAATTTTGTGTTTAAAATATGCTGTGGTGTAATTGAAGTTGAATGACTTTTCAAACGGATCATAACCGCTGGGGCTTGTGTGACACCAAACTTCAAGGGAGCGTCGTGCTATTTTTCATACTTGAAAGGTCTTTAACAAAATTTAAAATGTCTTGAGTATAATTTAACCAAGAAGATCAGATGAATTAAAAGGACATAAAATTTCAAATTTAACGGTGGGAGTTAATTGAGAAATGTTCAAACATCGAGGGGGTAACATGTCAAAATTAAAATCAAATGGAGTTAATTACAGCAAACCTAAACTTAGAGGGAATAATTTATAGTTGACCCAAGAAAATAAGTAAAGAATTCTAGGTATTTTAGTAACTTAACATAATTTTGTTGGCTATTTTTTTTGGTAGAAATTTGAGCTTATCTCCCCATGATTTACACAATTTGCACATTATCTCTATGAGGTTTGAAAATAGCACTTAACTCTTGTGATTTTTTAACTAAAATGCACAACTAACTCTGTTAACATAATTAATTAAAAATTTTACGTCAAATATAAAATTTATAAAAAGAGCAATGTCATTTAAACTTAATTTATTCATTTAATCACTCATATACTCTTTGAAATTTTCTATTAATATAATAATTATAATTTATTATGTCAACAAATTACACATTAAATCTAAATAATATTACAAAGGTAATTTAATGGGCTAGGGTTGGTCCGTAATTGAATGGATCGTCAGACTAACGGACCAAACCCGTGGACCACGGGCCTCTTGCAGAGCCATGTAGGAGACACTTGTACATAAAAATCGAAATAATGACCGCACCATTTGGAAAACAAACCCTACTTCCCGCCAAGGCAATTGGCGCCAGATCTATTCCCATATATTTCACCATCCCCCACACACCACACCCCTCTGGCTCATCGACATCTATCTCTGCCTCGCGCTATCCTTGTGTATCAGAGGATACAGATTCAAGTCTGATCAATGTGAGTTTGTTCTTGTGATTATTCTTATCCGTGACATCTCTGTTTCATCGTCTAGCTTATGTTTTCTTTTTAATAATCCTGACTCGCTGACTTAATGGTGGTCTGTTTGAGATCTACGTGATCAGGGTTGTAGTTCTAACTTTTCCTTCTATTTGTATGTTATTTGTCCGAGTCGATAGACCTAGTCCCAAATTTTCGTAGGAAATGAGAGTTTCGTAAGGTTGTTAGTTCTGAAATTCAATCATTGGGGGTTTAATAGGAGTTTCCCAATTCTATTTTTTTTACGCGTATTGCAATTATGATACATATCAATTGGGTTAACCTTGGCTTGCGAGCTTTAATGGACGAAGTTGCTATCATGTGACTATAATGCAATTCTATGATTTTCTGGCATCCCACGACTGTATAAAAGATTTGGTCAAATGATAGTATTGCTCTGTTATTAACGTTGTTTTTTATTGTTGCATCCTTAAAGGTTTCAGTATTCAATTTTACACATAAGCATATATTTTTGGTTAAGATTAAAAGGTTATTGTTTAATTGTATGCACTATCCAAAGTCAAGATTTTGGAAAGATGGTACAATTTAATGATCTAAAAACTTATAATATTTGGGTATTCATTCATTAGCACCGTTATTCATGATTCAACTTTAACGGAAAACCATGCATTTTAAAGAGGTATGGCCAAATGATTCCATCTAAGGGTGCCCGAAAAGGCTTCAATATATTCACGGGATAATAGGATATGTGCAATTGCACGAAACAACATTGCAGGAGTTGTAGGATTCTGATAATGTTGTAGTGCCTACAAATTGGTGACAATTTTTCTTCTTGGTGTATTTTTTTCTTTCCAAAAGTTTATCCAAGTAGACATTCAAAAATTAAACAAAAATTTCCACTTTACAGTTCATATTAGCATGTTTTGATGATCCATCAAAATGCTCAATTTCTGTTTTTTGCGAGCATGTAATAATAGATTGATGAGCTTACAATATTCCATAGACATTAGGTTTTTGGACGCCTGTCTCCAAATTTCACTATGAGCATATGTGGAAATTTTTGTTGGGGATAGATTCATCAAAGCAAAGATATTCTTTAATAGTGGACAAACACAATCATGATCAGTGATGTTTTCTGTGCAGCATACAGGGAAAGAAAAAAATGCAAGTTAACTAGATATAGTTGAAAACATGAAAAAGTAGCCAAAATGGTGATGCTTTTCAGCATGGTGTTAATTATGGGAATGCAACATTAGAACAAAGTATGTCATAGAAGAGTAGTTCTACTATTCCAGTAGGTTGTGTTTGCACCACATTTTTTTTCATACGATGTTGAGGGGGATGACTGGGATGCTTGATCAAATCATGCTCAACAACATTAGTCGTTAATAATGGAAAAGGGTGCATATATGAGATTATGGAGCAAGTGAGAAGTCTAATTGTCCTGCCTGGAGGGAAGTAAGTAAGGCTTGGATGGTGATGGTAATAATGAAGAAGATTCCCCAGAAGTTTTAAAATTTGGGGTGTATGCACTCTCTTTGTTTGGACTTTGGGAGATATATATGCCACTATCTGAGAAATTAATTATGCTTCCCCACTTTGCTTCCTCAATGTCATCTCCAACTTTTTCTTCTGCATATATCCCTTTTGTTGTCTATGTGTAATTGGACATTTTATCACTGGCAGGATGAAGTGCTATACCTGGATATGATATATGGTGCTAAACTCTGACCATCAATAAACATGTCTGTGTGCTTGCTTATTTCTGTAGTTTCTGTTTGATGATTGTCAGATAAATGTTCTTTGATTCCATCTGAAGTAACAAGGCTAACATGTTCTTTGTGCCAGTTTCTGATCAGACGTGGTGCCATATTGTCCATACCCTGTTTAGAGCATAATTTAATTTGCTGCTATCAACGTAGCATTTTTCCACCATCTTGTATCCATGAGATAGCAGTTTATAAGTTCTGTTATCAGATAATGGAGCTAAGGAGTTGCAGTAATTTACATTTTATCCAGGCCATAAGGGATGGTTTGGTGGTAAAAATTCGCAATGTGGATTTTTGTGGAAAACCAGCTGTTGTGTTCAGAAAATTGAGGGATATATATGAATCTGATGATGCCACAAATCTTGGAAAACCATCTACACTATTGCAAGATAGGTATGATGAAGTTTTTCACTATGACAGGTTCAAGATGGAAAGCCCATGTTTGCTCATGGTAGATAGAAGAACAAAGGAAAAACACCTGGAGACTAATGAGTTTAACTGCAGTGACAGTGCGGATGAAAAAGCAAGTGACTCAGATGAGCATGTCTTTGGAAAAATGACACTGGAACAGCTTAAGGAGAGATGCAAAACAAGGAAAAGAAAATTTTCAAGTTATGTTGGTTTGACTCCGAAGCAGGAACCTGTAGAAGATGAATTTGATCTAGAATTGCCCCTGAGTAGTTGGAAATTGAAGCAGTCAAAGAACTCAAAGGCTAGACAGAAGTCCACCAACATAAGTGTCAGTACATCTAAAACTTCATTTCTGGTTAAAACCGAACAGATTCTAGAGACTGAAGGTTCCCTCCCATACAGTGGGGATTTATTTGCACTTAGTCCCATCAAAACTGAGGTTCCTGGACCTGAATCTGCAGATTGTCAAAACATGATTTCTTTTTCTGATGATCCCTCTATTAGTCACGTCAAGCAAGCGGGTTCTTGTGAAGCAGTATCTGGTAAAATTCCCAAGACAGTTGAATGCGTGATAGAAAAGAGGGAACAAATATTATTTGCTGAAGAATGCCAAAACTGTGGTATTTCTGAAATTTCATATGATCATCTGAATCAAGTTGGGTCCACTTCTCTTTTCACTCCGATCGACGGGGAGATCATGGAGATTAGTAATCAAGAAAAGAGCTGCCAACAGTCCTCAGCTTTGCCTGTATCAGAATTTATGACAGAAGAAGGTATCAAGCATACACTTTCCCGGGAAAGCTTCCTGGAATCAATTTCTCCTTCCAAGGATCAAAGTTCAGATATGTTTAATAGCTCCCAAAGTTTTTCCCATCTGCACAATATCTCAAGGCAGAGCAGCAGTGATTATGGAGTTCAAATTCCTGGAATGGGGATTGATAATACCCTTGGTTGTGAAGAACTGAGTTATGGAGGGCATTTATTCATATTTGGTGGTAAAGTTAAGGTAGATTTGCCTCCAAATCTAGAAAACAGTTCTCTGACTCCTAACAGTAACTGTAGCTCATCTTCGAATTCCCATCCTTGCTCGAGTCCTGATAATGATTTGGTTTCCATGGAAGATGATTCACCAACAACTGAGGATAAGCAGCCTATAATATCTACAATAGATGATGCTGAAGTATGTTGTTTAGACCCTGATAACCAATTGGTTGTCTCAGAGGATGATGCTACCACAGATGAGAATCAGCCTTCAGTGTCTATCAGTGCTGACGATGGAAGGAATTCCTCCACTTGGAGCCATCCTTGTGATGTCACTGATGAGCTTTCAACATCAGATATCAAGAACTATCGATTCACGGAGCAGCAGCGGCAATCTCCTGAGAGACTCCTTTCAACTAGAAAGGTAAAATAATAGTTTTCTGTTAATTGTGGATTTGACTTTGTTTTTTTTTTCTTTGAGAGTTTATCAGAAAGTGGCTGCACTTTTCAGGCTATTTCTCCAACTTCTCAAGGAAGATTGTGCCTGGCTTTGAATTCCATAGAGCTGTATGACGATGTTGACAATTACAGTAAGTAAATCCCTGTTTGATTTTGAGTTGTGGGTTCTTCACAACATATTGTATGCAGTGACCACCCATTCAAGGTGTCAACAAAAAACAGTTTGTTGCTTGGTATGCCTTGGTGATAGTCTTATCAGATGACCACCAGAGCATAGGCCAGTTTTGAAAGAACATGCTTATATGCATGATATTGTACTCCTTTTACTGCCCAAGACAAAAATAAATGACTATGATTGATAATTGTGGAGTCTGTTGACGTGTACAGTTGTGTGTTGCACCCGTTGTAAGAGTTGTACATGTGGTGCTAATGGATATAATTGCAGCACACTCCTACAGCAATCGGTTGTATATGAAATGACGTTGTTCGTACCTTTTTCTTTCGTCTCCTTTTTTATTAATCAGTTTTCAAAACATGCCTCTTTCATGCACTTGAAGAATGTAGATTTTGATTGCGTAACCTTTGCAATTTGCCTTTTTTTTTTCCCTTCTCTTTTCTGTTGTGTGAGTATATTCGATAATTAAAAAGAATTATTCCTTCTCTCTGATTTGAGATTCTGGATACTTTGCATTGTCTTCACCCATTCTGTGCTCTAGCTTAAGTCTTGTTGGAATGGCTCTTATTATCTTTTATGTTACCTCTTAATTGTTTTTTCTTGGTTTGTAATTGTTTCAGAAAGCAAGGGGAAACTATTGTTTGGCAAAGATACTAAAAATAAGGCTTCTCCAACTGGATCAGATATTCACAGGTCTGAATTATCTATAAATCCTGAAGGGCCTGTTCAGGTCAACCGGATGAACTTCCCTGCAATCCCCAAGCGGATGCTTAAGAAACTGAAGAATAACAGAAAAGGTTCTCCACCCAAAAAAGGCTCTCCACTTAAAGGCAGTCTTGAGGGTCCCCGCCTTTCACGTTCGCTACCTCGTCTTAGCACTTCATGCACCTCTATTCAAGATTGTTCTGAGAGTTCTATTGCATTCTCACAGCGGCAGATGTATGACATGGAAGCTCTTGCAATGAAGCTTATGAAGGAATTGAATTCCATGAAGGACATCGTAGAAGAAAAATTGCTCTATGAAGGATACCGCAGCACGCTCTTGAAAAACGATGCTGATGAGGTATGTGACTTGTTAAAGATCCAGGCAATAGTGATGCATTCTCTAGTTAAGCAAAGCATGAAAGTACTGATTTTAAATTTTCAGACGCTATATTCAGTTTAACTAATGCATGCTCTTTTTAAATATCACGAGATTCTTCTTCAAGTATTCATGACTTGTTAGTTATTTTATATTTGTACCATATATTCTGTGAAAGGCTAAATTTGAACACTGAATTCCTTTTTGCTGTATTCTAATCCTGTTTTGGTGGTGTAATATACGTGGCAAAGCAGTGCAACCATAAGTTCATGTTCTCCTTGAGCATCGTTGGCTGTACCTATGACTTCTTTGAACTTTTCTGTTCATCTACAAACTTTGTACTGTTTTACTCCCATTTCTGAGTGGGATTCATTGCACTCAAATTACCTTTACCTCACTCCATCTTCTGACTGTGTGATACAAATATAGGACACTGAGTATCAAAACGTAAAAATTATAGCACCATCTATCTATTTCTATAATTGAAACAATAGTCAGTCCCTTTGATTGTTTTCTATCTGGATTGGACCTACCAACTGCTGGTAACATTTACCCCACAAAATGTACATTCTATTTTTCCACTTGAAGTTGGATGACCTTTTCTTTTCTTGCCTACATAAATGTATCAGAAGCTTTTTCTCGGTACTCTTATCCTATGTTGTGCAGTTTTAATTGGGGAATGTTGAATATTTGCTTTATGCAGTTTTAGTTATTATAACTGACTTATGCTTCTGTTGGCGTAGGACTGGTTGTTGGATAGCCCAAGATTGCATTAGGAAAAACAAATTTGAGTGTATCTGTTTAGAGAAACTTAGTTCTTTGTTTGGTGCCCATGACTTGCAATTTTCACTGACATGCAGCATGCCTCTGGGATACTCGACCATATTTTTAACACGTTTGATTTATATCGCATGCAATATTTTAATTGTCTTCATGTTTTTTGTGTTTCTTGCTCATAACCTTTCTGGCTTGAGGTTTATTAGATGTTGATGCTATACCATTTTTCTTTTTGAATTTAACATACAGTTTGTCATGGGTCTTCTAGACGAGTGTTTGCAATCATGCACAGGCATTGCTGCAGATTTAGTAGTATGTTCTTATGTTTTATGGACTTGTACAGATATTTGATAAATAGTCTAATGGTAAATCTGATACTTTGACAGGTGAAAACAGCCATCAAGAATGCAACAAAAGCTGAAGAATCAGCAAGAAGATGGCTATCCATGATGACAAGGGATTGCAACCGTTTCTGTAAAATCATGGTTTGTTTCTCTTTTTATCCGGTCTTGGGTTGGAGATACAGAATGTTTGATCTATTGGGTATGGTTTGTAGCAGTATTTCTCATTTTGATGACATTTTCTTTTGTCACCAACAGAGATTAACTGGGAATGGTGCTGCTGATTCTAAAGATGTCATCCACAAAGAGAGAAATAAGATTACTTTTGCTGACGAAGCTGGTGGAACACTTTGCCATATCAAGGTTTTTGAGGATAGCATGGTTTCTCAAGAGCCCAAACATGAAAATCAGGAATCAGAAGCTAGATCATTTTGTGGCATTGATTGTACATTATAGTCTTGGTATTCTAGTTTTACCCACAACATAAATCTCTTTCCTTTAATGGGATCTGAGAGAGGTAAGTGATAGGGTCATCTTACTCCTGTTTTGGAAAGGCAGGTTTCTACGATGTAAACGGGTGTACATTTGTCATTGTTCTACTTCCAGCCTTAAAAGTGTATCCTATTGATTCCATTTTTGTATTGTAGCTTTGTAATCCAAATTTCCAAAAAACCATTTTACTTTCATGATTAACTTCTGCTGGTTGGTAGAAATCCAAACAATCACTTCCTCTCTATTCCTCTCATGATTACTTCCACATCCTTCATATTTCTACTATGCACACAATCCTTATATAGCCAAGATAGTGCTGTAAAATAACAAACTACATTCAAATAGCATTTCTCCGATAAAATCAACCACAAACAGAATAACAAGGAACATATATTAGAATCACACTTACAATTAATTCCTTTTTACTTTATTTAACCTTTAGCATTGAGAAAACATTTATTACAACGGTAATATTGTGTCATTAGTAAGGTATCACTTTTGTAGGGAATATTACCTCCTTAAACACCAGTTGACGAAGCACGTTGAGATTTGGGGGATTCACAGAACAAGCCCTCCCAGATATCCGTAAACGCCTCAACTATGACCCCTTGATGTTGTCTCGAATTCAGAGAGAGAAAACACTGCAAGAGCTGCTCCAAATCCTTGTACTCCACTATTTCTTTCTCTAATATCATCTCTAGCATTGACCTCTTGAAATCCTCATATGGGTCCTCCGATTTCTTCACCACCACCAAGCTCTCATTCAGCACCTTTCCGTTCTCCGTGCACGGCATCATCCGCCTGAAAACTGACTTCTTCACCGGAGATTCACTTTCCGGCGCCGCTTTTTTAATCTTCTCAGAATTTTTCCAACTGTTTGAAGGATAACGTGTCAGTCTCCGAACCTTGAGATTATTCTTTTTCGCTCTTCTACCTCCACTAATTGGGGTCTCTGTTATTGTCTCTAATGAATAACCGAAGTCATAAGAAGAATCGAAGCTTCTGGAAGACGAAACTAGGCTTTCAGTCTCTTTATTGTTGTCGCCATCTTCGCTGCTGAACAAACCACTATCCGCCGATGAAACGCTCAGGCAAACACTACCTTTCGATTTCTTTGTTCTGTTTTTCTCGATTTTCTTCTTCTTGTCTTTGGTTGGTGTAACCGGCCATCTGTAGTCATCAGACTCATCGGAAACCGGTGACTTATATATTTTCCGATTGTTTTCTCTTTTACTGGCCTTTGTTGATTCATGTATGAACTCGGAGATCGTGTATTGTTTTTGTATACGTACTTTTGATCGACCTTCGCATTTGAGTGGTGTGATCTTTGATGAAACTTGGAGTTTCAAAGAAGGGTGATTCGGAGATGGTGGTGGGTCTGGGAAGCTGGGATAAGCGATGTCGAATGGTTTAGGGTTTACAGGAGAGAACCCGATTGTCGGCGGCCAGTGACTATTTGGCAAAGCAGATGGTTGCTTGGAACGACAGAATTGGAAAGAGGGAAGAGAAAATCGAAACTTGAAGCCTTTAGTCATGTCTGGAATGTGGAGAGTTAAGCGTCCGAATATTGCCAGAGGAAATACTGAAGCTTAAAACATTCCTAAGAACCTATCCATTTATAGATGTAAACTCGGGTTACTGAGTTCGAATCGATAATTTGGATTCAAGTTACTAAGTTTAGTGTTGATAGTTTGCTTTAATTAAATTAAAGAGAAAATTTCTCACTTAGACATTATTGACAGTTAAATAAACAAATCTATTTATAGATGTGAAGAGAATTAAAATATGAGAACAAGGGTCCAAGGTAAAGTGGTTTCACTGTGATTGGATGTGAACGATGCAAATCACTAAAAAAAAAAAAAAACATATGTTAGATAAGATTTGATGAAAAAAAAAACTTTATTCTTTTATGTCTAATTATGATATTATAATGTATGAAAATATTATTTAGATATACTTTGAGGATCTAATGTATGGATCTAATTTAATATAATCATTGGATTAATGATAGATTTTATTTAACATTAAAACTCACAAATAATCTAATAGTTAAATTAAGTTTTATAACATTGCTCATTTAATAATTGCTCTAGTTCAAGACTAATAAAATGTTGTCCCATGCTAAATTAATTACTTCTTTGGTATTATATTTACGGTGAATTATATTTTGGATCCTAAAAGATTTAAAAAAAATTATTTTTTATTTTTAAAGATTAAATTTTTCATATTGTACTATCATAGGGTGGCCCTTCCAATAGCTTTAGTTATTTATTCTGTCAACGTTAATGGAGTGATTTTTGATGAAATAAGTAACAAAAATTAATTATAGGGTCACATTATAATAATTTTAATATATTGATGGTACAAATTAAAAAAAAATTAATCTTTAAAGGTAGTAAATAAAAAAAAAATTATTTATAACCAACCCTTCACTTGAATAATATAAGCAAAGTGGTGCACATATCATTATTGTACTCAAAATTCATAGATATTTTTTTAATACGTTAATATTATCGTGGGATGGGACAAGATAGGATGAGATCTATAAATTCCATGCATCGGCACGGGATTGTCGCTATGCAGTGTTTATATTATAAATTGGATTTTTAGATCAAGACACTATTATATAAAATGTATGTAGGAAAGAGAGAGGGGCCGGCTGGTATGTAGAGGTAGGTGAAACATTTGAGGTTATGACTCACTCTTTTTGGTGTTTATAAATTGATCAAATCTAAGTGATGATATCATATTCATCCTGATAGTAACACCTTGGAATTCCTTTTGCCACCCTAAATGTCTGAAACTGTACAGCATATCCTACTTGGACTTGAGCCTCATGGGGAGATCCATCATGAACAAGTCAATAGATCCTCATTACAATTGATAGGAAACAAAGAGAGGCAATTGCTATAAAATAAATGGCCAAGGGTCTCATCAAGTAGATTAAGACCATATTAGACAATGATCTTTAGTGAGCAATGGTCATCACCCATTGTCTAGGTATTATTGCCTTTCACAACTTGTTTTCAAATGAAAAATACTATTTTACCTTAATTTGAGAAATTAATAAGTCAGGACGATTAGTTCTTCAATTAAATTCTCATAGCGTTTCTATTTTCAAAGATTCTCTATTTTTTGAATTGTTAGGAAATTTGCAAGAAATTCACAAATCTGTTAGGAACAAAAATAAAGAAAATGCACTCTAAAGAAAAACAATCACATACACAAAAAAACAGTATTTACGTGATTCGGTAATTTTGCCTACGTCCACGAAATTGTAGAGATTTCACGCTTCCGCTCCATGAATTAAGCCCCGGAAAATTTTCTATTAAAAAAATCACGTAACATTATTTCGGATCGAGTCATCATCCGAATCAAATACAAACTAAGCTCTACAAAAAAAAAAAACTAACATGAATTTATAGGATACCCATATTTTTTTTGCTCTTGTTTTTTTTAAAGAAAATAGTACGGGCCAGACATTAATTCTCTTCGGTCCTGGATGCTTTAAATAAATTTTATTCAACTTGTGCGGGCTTGATCCTGCATGATATATATAAAATATTGGGAACAGATCTCTCCCCTGGTGAACTTTGGGTGAGCCGATTGAGTGGCCAAGCACACTGCTCGAAACAGCTTACGATCCTGGGAAAGGAGGAACGATCCTGTGCGTGCGAAAGGTATTTCCTGGGACAAAAGAGAACAAGTTAGAAGGGCGCCGGAGTGTTTTCCGGCGTATCCCCTCCGACGGTCTAGTCAGTCTTTGAATGAGAGAGAGGAAGGAGAAAACACTGAGAAGGATATTTTTGTAGTAGAGAGTTTGTGATTACATACCCGCTTTGTCTTTTGGGAGGGGTATTTATACCTTAGAAGATCATGATTGCTGTCAGTGTGGTCAGTAGGTGATCATCAGGCACAGGTAGCGTGTGTAATCATTTGATGAGGAATATCTTCTCTAATTGACTGCTCGGGGTCCCGAGCAATTAATGGTGAGTTGTCGGGACGCCGACGGTACAATATGCTCCTTTCGGGAAGGATGCAATAAATGCTCTGTAATAGGAGCATTTATTGCCTTTCATATCCGAACCTTACCGCATTAAATGCGGTCTCGTCAACAGAAGGGTGTAATTAATTGTTTGCTTTCCCAAGTCGCGTGCCAGCAGCGGCATGCGGTTTGTCTGCTTCGGATGTGACATTATTCGCCACACGTCCATCCCTTATTGGCTGTTACGTCGGTATTCCAGCACGTTCTGACATTACTTGTGTAAGAAGAGCTCATGATGACTAGTCCATACTGGCATAGGCTGATGTCCAGTTTTGTCAGTAGCTTTTTCCGGGAGTAGGGGAAGCGTCCAGGATGGAGTGACCCTCGGCGCCGAGGAAAGGCTCACCTCGGGGACCAAGGGGTGGTGTGTTCCCGAGGTACATGGTGACCGAGGACACATGTCTTTGTATAATGTACCGAATATGTGATCCTATATGAGAGGTACCTCGGGGAGAGGACGCCTTGCCGATGGTGCTCGAACCCGAGCAACATTGTTCTAAAAACCCCGAGGACACGTGTCTTCATCGTAGGCTTTTCAGAAGAGTCCCATCAACTGCCCCCCAGCCTTCGATCTTCTGACACCGAGGACACGCGTTGTCAGGAGACGAAGGGTTTTTCCAACTGCCATCCGTCCTTCATTATGGCCTCGAGCAGCTTTCCCCGTCTTGGGATGTCGTGCGCATTAAATGCGCTGTTTTTGGTTCTCCCGCCCAATGATGACAGTTTCCCCCCTATATAAAGGGGGTTCTTCTCCGGTTTCTATCATTTTGCCATTCCGATCTCTGACCCAGAATACGCCTTTTCCGATCTGCTCGCCGGAGTTTTTTGTTTTCCTCAGCCATCGTCGACAGCATCTTCTCTTAAAACCTCAGTCAGTAAAACCCATTGTTGACTCCTGATCCTTCCGGTGCGAGTTATTTTCAAAGTTTTTCCTGAAAAACTCCGTTTTCGACGTCTTCTGGTGAGTTTCACAACCTTCTTCTTTATCGTCCCCCTAGCCTTCTTGCTTTCCGATTGAACAGTGGTGTCATCCGGTCGGTACGTCTCGATTTAAACCCTCGGGGAACTTCCTCGGGTTTTCAAGAGAGAACACCTTTTCCTCCCCTTTCTTTTTAGAGATGCCTCGTCGTCGCCCTGTTCCCGAGAATCCATCGGCTGGTCCCTCGGGGTCAGGGAAATACAAGGTGACGGGCGAGGCACAGATCGATAGGTTCAGGGCGAAGTATGGCATCCCTCCGAGCGTGGACGTAGTGGGTTTTAACCCTTTGTTGTACTCTCCTACCTTCGGGGCCACGGATGCCATGCCTTTCTATACCAAGGCCATCATAGAGGGTGGCATTAGGTTTCCTTTACCCCCCCTGCTTCTTCAGTTCCTGTCTCGCTTCCGTCTCTTCCCCGGGCAATGCTGCCTCAACGTCTTTCGGATAATTATGGGGGTCCTAGAGCTCAATAGGCGCCTCGGGGTGAATATTGGGCTCAACGACCTCCTTTTCTGTTACTCTCTCCTAAGAGTCATGCCCCACCAACATTTCTACCTCAAAGCCAGGGACCCCTCTATGTACCTTGTAACCCATCTTCCTGACTCGGACAAGGGGTACAAGGACGACATCTTGATCTTCAAGGGATGTTGGGAGAGGGGTGTCGGTCCCGAGTACAATGACCTATTTTGCCCTCGGGAATGGAGAACGACAAGTACGTCGGTTCCTTTGGGTATTTTTATTTGTTTCTTGGGACTTCTCATGTTTATGACAATCTTTTTTGTTGTGCAGGTATTCCTTCTCGGGAAACAGCTCCACCCCCTCGGTCGCTGGTCAATTTTGGCGACTTAACAACGGTTTGGAGTTTCACGGGTGCCGACGGATTTGGCCGAGCTGCCCATAATTTGCTGCACTATACCCCCGGGTATAAGAAGTTCTCACAGCTCCCTCAACCTTTCGAGCCTTCACAGTGGTCAGAGCTCTTTGATCAGGCGGCGAGGTTAGAGGTCGAGCAGAACTTGGAGGAAGACCCGGATCGGGCTTCAGAGGGAGAGGTAGAAGGAGTTGCAGAGGTCGGGGTCAGAGAGGACGTTGCTCCTTCGGACGCCGAGGTGGGGACTTCGGGAGGCGACCTGTGGCCGGATTTTCAAATTCTCCAAACCTTGGACGCCGAAGACGCTCTCGAGGAAGCGATGTCCAACACCCCACGCATCAATTTGGGGTTTCTTAGGCAGAGGCAATCCCTCGCAGCCGGGAGAGGCCGAGGGGCGACCGGCGGTACTCCGGCAGGAACCAGTTCCGCCAATTCTTCGAGGGCTCCCGGTCAGGGTCAGGTGCGAGACCGGGATCCTCAGGTGGAAGAAGAGAGGAGGGTGAAGCATCGGCATGACGGCCTCAGCCGAGGACCCAGGGCATCTCCCGCTCAACCTCAAAGCGGGAGGGATCGTGGGTTACCGCCTGCTCCCCCACAACAGCAACAACAGCAGCAGCCCCGACAACAGCTACAGCTGCAGC